CACACACTCTCACACACACTCTCACACACACTCTCACACACACGCTCAGCAGATACTCACAGCGTTCGGTCCACCGCAGCCTCCCAGAATCAGCAGTGTCTCGCTGTCGATCACGATCTGAGGAACACGAGGTGACACATTGAGCGGCTCAGACTCAGAGCATCATGGGAGTCAGTGAGAGACTGAGGAGGCAGTGTTACCTGAGACTGTCCCCCGCGAGGGTGAGGACACAGGCCGCTGACGGCCGGTTTGGACCAGGACCACTGCTCCAGATCCAGAACCCAGACCTCGTTACTCCTGCGACACAAACACACACAGGATAAACACGCCACTCGATCGCTCGCGGCCGACTCTCCCGCCTCATACGTACATCTGCCGCGCACCCAGAGAGCCTCCGAACACCACCATAGTGCCGCCCATCACGGAGGACGAGTGTCCTGCCATCGGCGGCGGCCCCTGAGTCGTCACGATGCAGTTCCACCTGCGGGCGAGAGAGGGGCGGAGTTACAGGCTCACACTTCCTGTCTGACACACACAGCTTCCCTTGAGTCACACCATGCAGGAAACACGGACGGAATCACAGAACCCAGCCCAAAAACCAAACGTTTTCATTTCATTTGATAAAAACAATCAAACACAAACAAAGTTAAAGATTAACACAAATGGCTAAATAAAAGTTCAGTTCAAATTATGACTGAAAGATATTGCTGCTGTACAGTAAAATATACTTCTCAAAGCAACAAAAATTATACACTCTCTTAAGTTAAGTCAAGTCAAGTCACCTTTATTTATAAAACAGACTTAGCAGGAGCAGGAGGCTACTTATGTATTTAGTTCTCGTTTTAACCATGATTTGTATTTGTTTTCAAGCCATCGCTGCCTGAAGCAGCAAGCTCCGGCTCTGCTCGTCAGAGGACACGCGTCCATAAACACCAGCAGATCACAGCCACTGACTCCAGCCCAGCTGCTTTACACTCATTTTATGTGCTCAAAAATGAACTCTTCGGTAAGAAAGCCAATTATTATGAAACCAATGCAACTGCATTTTCAAGCACTTTATACAAAATCCAAGCATTTTTCAAACCTTGAAAACACTACATTAAAATTCAAGCATTTTCAAGGAATTCAAGCACCCGCATGAACCCTGAATACAACATTATCCCAAAAAAATCTAATGCGAAACAGAATTTCAGGGGAGAAATCTACAGTAATTTAGGGGAAAATAAAGCATAATTTGGGGAGAAAAAAAAAATCAAAGGTAATTTGTAAATAAATGAAGATAATATGTGACCCTGCCTAACAATACATCGTATGGGTCAAAATTATACATTTTTCTTTTATGCCAAAAATCATTAGGATATTAAGTAAAGATCATGTTCCATGAAGATATTTTGTAAATTTCCTACCTTAAATATATCAAAACTTAATTTTTGATTAGTAATATGCATTGCTAAGAACTTAATTTGAACAACTTTAAAGATGATTTTCTCAATATTTAGATTTTTTTGCACCCTCAGATTCCAGATTTACAAATAGTTGTATCTCAGCCAAATATTGTCCATTTTGTCCAGAAAACTGTCTATTTCACATGTGGTAAAGAGTCTCACCAGTTCTTGGAGGGTGAGTAGGTGTGTATCTCGTCGAAGAAGCGCTCGGGCTGGTGGAGCGGGTATGGACTGGGCCGAGTCCATCCGCCGAACAGCACCAGCAGATCCCTGTACATCACCAGCGGCCGTCTGCGCAGCCGGACATGACGCCGCCGTCTGCGGATCTGAGAGTGAAGACACGCGACTCTGTGTTCAGATCACATCAGTGTTTTCCCGCAGGATTGGGCTATTTTAACACTATTTAAAAGTAGTGCCGTCAAACGATTAATCGCGATTAATCGCATCCCAAATAAAAGTTTTTGCTTACATATGTGTGTGTACTGTGTAGGGTTGCAAAAAGGAGGAAAACGTTCCAGGATTGTTTTGAATGTTCCAGGGATTTTTGGAAAGTTTCCGGAAATGCACCGGATATTTTCCACCCCTTTGCAACCCTAGTACTGTGTATATTTATTACGTATATATAAATACACACACATGCATGTATACATTTCAGAAAAATAGGTTATGTTTACATATTAAATATATTCATTTATAATATAAATTATACGAAGATAAATACAGACATTCAAAATATATACTGTGTGTGTGTGTGTATTTATATATACATAATAAATATACACAGAGCACACACATATATATTATGCAAACAAGAACTTTTATTTTGGATGCGATTAATCGTTTGACGGCACTACTTAAAAGTTCACTTCCAGAATAAACATTTCCTGATCATTTACTCGGCCCCATGTCATGCTCTTTCTTCAGTCGCAAAGATAGCACACGTACATCACGGAGACGTCTGCATTACATCTGCGAGACGTATTTTTTAGAGCGTTTGCTCATCTGCAATACGTCTATAGCACGGCGTCTATCAGATGTCTATCAGACGTCTCTAAGATGTTTAGGATTTAGAATGTATGTAACGTCTTACAGACGTACCTGTGCTATCTGGGATAAGTTTTACGAGCAAACCTTGCAGGTTTGTTCTCCATATAGTGGACTTCAATGGCGGCCATTGATTTCAATGTCAAAAATGCAGCTTCAAGGAGCTCTACACCACAGCTTCCAGGAAAACCTGTACTTTACCAGGTTGGGATCCCCCAAAAAGCAACTGGGCTAGTTTGAGTAGCAAGTGGGTGGGTTATGTTGTGAAAACCTGGCAAGCCTGATTCAGACGTTCTTCAGGACGCTCTCAGGAGCATCTCAGATCATGACAACAGCATTAATAATCAGAACCCGTGTTTAATAACGGAGGGGTTTGGACTTGTGCAGCCAAACATGCATCAGAAGAGCGGTTTCTCTGGTCTGATGTAATCAGCGGCTCAGATGAGCACTCCGCTGTATTTACTCTCATGTTTACTCGTGTAGTACAGCAGCTGCTGCTTAACTCACCGGTGTGCTGCTGCTGCTGCTGCTGCTTCTTCTCCGCTGCTGCTGTGTTTGTGTTTCTCTTTATCAGCTGCTCTCATGAAGCGCCTCTCTCCAAACATCCGCCATCTTCCCTCCGCTCGGGAGCGCGCACGCACGCACGTCACGCGTCTCGGGGCGCGCCCGCTCGTTCTCTGGCATAAGTATTTATGAATAATATATCGTTTGTTTTATTGACGCTAATGCTCGATTTTGTGCGTTTGCCGGTAATCCGGGAGTTGTGTTCGTTATGTTGTGGCGTTCGTCACATATTATTCTGAAGTGTTATGAATCCAATCATCCAGCAGGTGTCAGTAGATCAATAATCACAGCTTGCTGCGAGGAAAAACTGTGCTGTGGAAATTAACCGAAACCGCAAAATATCCCCAATAAAAGTGTATTCGTTTAATAACAGTTACAACGCAATCCTTTTATTTCACGTCTTTTAAAGATCCGTTTCGGCACTTTTCGAGACGATCGCTGTTTTAATGTAATATTTGTATTACTTTATAGTTTATGCTGTCGAGCGAGCGGCTCTCTCGTATGTCAATCAGATTAATTCTAGCGAGTCGGTTCGCTGTAAATGGCGTCGGAAAGTCCGAATCTTTCTAGCGAGTCGGTTCGCTGTAAATGGCTTCGGAAAGTCCGAATCTTTCTAGCGAGTCGGTTCCTTCTAAACGGATCTCGCTCTTATATGTAGCTTCGGAGTGAGTTGCTGTTTTTGTCATTCTTCTGAAGACTTCATTCATTTGTTTTGGCAGTGCTCCTACACAGAAACATCTTGGTCAGACTTTTTAGTGTTTATTCAATCTTTTGTAAGTGACTTCTGTTTTAATGATGCTTTCTTTGGATTGTTTGACTATTCAACAGAGAACACCGGAAAATATTACAGAATTAATTCATGTTTCCTGTTAGCTACAACGGATTGAAGGTTAAAAATGCAGCTTCAAAGAGCTCCACACGATCCCAGCCGAGGAATAAGGGTCTTATCTAGAGAAATGATCGATCATTTTGTGAAAACAATTAACATTTATCCACTTTTTAACCACAAATGCTTGCTAGCATTAGCTCTGCGATGCACGTCTTTATTAGCGGATGTTGGAAAGGTCATGTGTGACGTAGCACCGACCCAGTGTTTACAAAGCAAACGGGCAAAAAAAGTCAAATGCCCTTTACCAAAAAAATGTAAAACGATGTGGGATGATTTTAAAGTTGGAGAAAATGAGATGGAGTTTGTAAGCAAAGTACAAATATGAACCTGACCTTTCCAGCAGGATTACGTGATGAGTGAAGACGCGCATCGCAGAGCAAGCATTTGTGGTCAAAAAGTGCATAAATATGAATTGTTTTCAGAAAATGGCCGATCGTTGGGCTAGATAAGACCCTTATTCCTCGGCTGGGATCGTGTGGAGCTCTTCGAAGCTGCATTTTTAACCTTCAATCCGTTGCGCACCACTGAAGTCCACTATGTGGAGAAAAACACTGGAATGTTTTCCTCAAAAACGTAATTTGTTTGCGACGAAGACAGACAGACATGAATGTGGGATGGCATGGGGGTGAGAAAATGATCAGGAAATGTTTATTCTGGAAGTGTACTTATCCTTCAAACACTTTAGTGAGAAATCAGTGTTAAACTTAGAGTGTGTTTGTGTGCAGCATAAAAGTGGTTAACAGGCGAACGAACCTGCCAGGCGACTGCGAGTTTGGAGATTTCTCGCCCGGACATTCCCTCCACACGCTTCGCGATCTCCGAACACTTCAGCCCGTAATCGAACTGAGCCAGCTTCAGCCTCCTGCGCGCGTGCGCACGCACGCGCACGCACACACACACACACACACACACGAGAGAGACACACACACAGAGAGAGACACACACACACACAGAGACACACACACACACACAGAGACACACACACACACACACAGAGACACACACACACACACACAGAGACACGCACACACACACAGAGACACACACACACGCACGTCAGTTGTTCAGTTCAGTTGTTCAGTTCAGCGAGTGTCATGCAGCATTTAAAAATGGTCTAAATCAATGTTATTGTAAACTAAAAGCAGTTTTATGTTTTGTCTACCTTTGCTTTGTTGTTTTTATTGTATTACTGACAGTTTATTTATTTTTAATCATCTTTGAGGACTTTTTTCACTAATATAATGTTTTGTTCATATGACCCACTAATAATCGTGTTAAATAATCGTGATTACAATATTGACCAAAATAATCATTT